ATTGTGGTGTTAGGTGGTGGTGGGTGTATTAGGTGATCGTGGTGGATATGGTGGTGGTGGGTGTGGTGATGGTGGGTGTGGTGATGGTAGTGGTGGGTGTGGTGATGGTGGTGGTGGGTGTGGTGATGGTAGTGGTGGGTACGGGGCTAAATTTTGGAGCAGTGTTTGGTGGTGTTTATGGAGGCCGGTAAGGGAGGTTGAGGTTTTACCATGTGTCTGTCTGTCTGTGTCTGTCTGTCTGTCTGTCTCTGTCTGTCTGTCTGTATGAGGGATAATTTCAACACACATCTCTTTTGTTACGAACCTCCATAAATTTCTGTGTGCGTGTATCTATGTGTGTCTGTGTAACGTCTGTGTGTGTACGTCTATGTCTGTATGTGTCTGCGTGTATATGTGTACCTGTGTGTCATTGTTACGAACCTCCATAAACTCTGTGTGTGTATGTTTGGAACCTCCATCAGCCTTCCTTCACACCTCTATAATCAGGCGCCGCTTTCTGATTCACAAAATTATTCAATATAACTTCCATACATCGTGTTTCTGTAGTTTGCGTGCGGTTGTAATGTTAATAAAATAATATTATCTTCATGGTTAGCTGGAGGAGAAGTCGCGCGCACGCGCGCGTGCGTGTGTGTGTGTGTGTGTGTGTGTGTGTGTGTGTGTGGAAGATGGAAATATAATTATTTATTTATTTATTATTTTATTCACAATCAAATTCTTAATCTCACTGTGTTTACGTATCAGTAAAGAACAGTGAAAAACTAATTGACCCAATATTCTGAAGTTACGGTGAAATTAATCTAGCATTGCCTTTATATACTTGACAGTCGCTGGTGAAAATAACTCAGAGGTTGTGTGTACAGTCCATGGAACAGTCCCCTTCACTAGTGTGTTTACAGGGGCTCGTCAGGTTTTGTGCAGTGTTGCAGCGCTGTGTTTATTTACATTCGACTGATAGAAATTCCCACTAGTAAACATACTATGGACTCCAATGAAAACAATATTAAAACAAATATATCAATGTAATGATTTGTTGAATGTTTACATGACGAGCCTCTGTAAACACACTAGTAAAGGGGACTGGACGTTTGGGACAACACTGAGTACACATCAGGCAGACGTGTTCTAAATCGGTAAATTGCATCTAATTGTGGTATATAAACTGGGACTTTCTGCAGAGGCTAAACACACCAGACTTTGCGTGCGTCTTTGGTAGTGGTTGTGGTGGTGATGAAGCCATGTTAAATATTTTGTTACCATCACCTGTAATTATCTTGTTTTGGGAGACTGTTAGTTATTATTATCTTTGTTATTATCTTTTATCTATTATTATTATTATTATTATTATTATTATTATTATTGTTACATAATATGAGCAACATCATCGGTAAAGTACAATACAATATAGTGTTGTATCTCCCAGCCAGCATCACACGTGTAGCCAGACTTTTTTGTTTACTTCTGGCGTCTGAAACTTAGATTTCTCTCGCCAGTGGGTCGCCTGCAGCCCTCCCCCTTTCCCCTCCCCCTTTCCTCCTTTCCCCTTCCCCTCTCTCATATGTTATCTTAATCCAGTATAATGTCACCACCTATGTAATATCGATTCCTGTCCTCTCGTTGGTGTGATTATCGACAGTAAGGTATCTGACTCCTCGCCTCTTTCTCTTGAGGATGTGTTGTTGTTTGACGTTACTGTAGTGTTATGGGGGTGTTACTACTGTTTTCACTTTATGTAACTAAAAAAAAGAGAGAGAGAGAGAGAGAGAGAGATATACTTTATGTCACGTCACGTTATTGTTGTGTTGTCACGTTCGGTGTTGTTGTCACGTCATTGTTGTCACGTTCACCTCAGCCCGTCGACCACATCGTATCGTCATCCTCTATTGTTACTGCGGCCTTCACCTTTACCCTACGTCTTACCACTTAATATACTGGAGGTGGATATTAATCTAGTCGTTTACCTGTGTGGATATTCTTCTATTTATAGATAAGAGAAATCCACATGAAAAAGGAAATTGATAGTAATGATAGTGGCTTGTGCAGACGGGCCCGGGGAGGGGGTGTTGTGGTGGGGGAGAGGAGGGGTGGGGGAAATGATGTGTTGTGTAGGTCGGGAGATGGGGTGGTGATGTGTGGTGGTGTTGTGGTGGGGGAGAGGAGGGGGGAAATGATGTGTTGTAGGGTCAGGAGATGGGGTGGTGATGTGTGGTGGTGTTGTGGTGGGGAGAGGAGGGGTGGGGGAGGGAAATGATGTGTTGTGGTAGGGTCGGGAGATGGGGTGGTGATGTGTGGTGGTGTTGTGGTGGGGAGGAGGGGTGGGGGGAAAATGATGTGTTGTGGTAGGGTCGGAAGATGGGGTGGTGATGTGTGTGGGTGGGGGAAGGAAGGGAGGGAGAGTTGTGTGGTGTGGTGGTGGGTGTAGACGTGGTAACCTGGTGAGTCAGCTTGGGTTCTGCCTCACCACAGGATGGATCTGGGATCACTTTCAGGTGGCTCAGTGGCTGGCTCTCTTGTGGTGTGGACTCCCTCCTCCCTCCCTCCTTCCCTAAGGTTCTCTCTCTCTTCTCCACCTCCCTCATCTAATCTTCTTTCACCCTTTTTCTACCCCCCACAAATAAAACCTTGCCCAGTCTCTACCTACCACCACCACCACCACCACCATCACCACCACCACCACCACCACCACCACCACCACCACCACCACCATCACCACCACCACCACCACCACACCACCACCCATTACCATCACCACCACCACCATCATCACCACCACCATCATCACCACCACCACCACCACCACCACCACCACCACTACCACCATCATCATCATCATCATCATCATCATCATCATCATCTTAGCTAGCTTCTGTCTCCCTCTTACCTGTCACAGTTCACACCCACATCAATAGGTTCTTGTTAATTCACCTCCTCACATACACCTGTATGGTACATGCCCCTCCTCCCCTCTCTCAAACACATACACACATAGACATATACCACCTGCATCTTACACACACACACACACACACACACACACACACACACACACACATGAGTGGACGATTGTTGATGTAGCGGTGAAGTGTTGTTGGTCAGGAAAGAAAACTAGTGATGATGAGTGAAGACTGAAGAGCCATCACACACGCCTCTGATGGTCACGCCCAACTGTATTGACCAAATTATGATGGCTTCACCTCCCAGATGATACTATCAGGTGGATGTCCTGTAGCGGTGTGTGTGTGTGTGTGTGTGTGTGTGTGTGTGTGTGTGTGTGTGTGTGTCCTAAAAAAAAACTCCTGTATAACTAAAGTGTAATTTATAATGAATAATAATAATAATACAATAAATATAACAGAGTAAAAACAAACCAAAAATGAATAAGTTGAAGAAAGTTTTATAATTTTATGGATATTAAAAAGTTTATTTTACCCAGAAAAATAAACAGGAGTGACAATAAGAACAACATTGAGACACATAGCAGTGACCTTCCTTCCTCTACTCGTGGGGTTGTTAGTGTCATGAGGGGGGTTAAGGGTTGTTAGTGTCATGTGAGGGGGTTAGGGTTGTTAGTGTCATGAGGGGTGTTAAGGGTTGTTAGTGTCATGTGGGGGGTTAAGGGTTGTTAGTGTCATGTGAGGGGTGTTAAGGGTTGTTATGTGTCAGAGGGTGTTAGGGTTGTTAGTGTCATGTGAGGGGGTTAAGGGTTGTTAGTGCTCGTGAGGGGGTTAAGGGTTGTTAGTGCTGAGAGGGGTGTTAAGGTTGTTAGTGTCATGTGAGGGGGGTTAAGGGTTGTTAGTGTCATGAGGGGTGTTAAGGGTTGTTAGTGTCATGAGGGGGTTATAATGTTAGTGTCATGAGGGGTTAAGGGTTGTTAGTGTCATGTGAGGGGTTAAGGGTTGTTAGTGTCATGTAGGGTGTTGGTTGTTAGTGTCATGTGAGGGGTGTTAAGGGTTGTTAGTGTCATGTGAGGGGGGTTAAGGGTTGTTAGTGCCATGTGAGGGGGGTTAAGGGTTGTTAGCGTCACGTCAGATCAAATACCTCCAGTGTTTTTGGATTCTTAGCGAGTCAATATTTACATTCAATTCGCCGATATGATTTTATTTTTTATTTTTGTATTTATTTTTATTTCCACGTCTAGAGGACTGGGTTCAACCTCCTTGATGACGGCGTTGAGGAAAAACCTAACCTAACTCTTCCTACAGGTATATATCGCCTAGTGGTCGCTGTGGGTGGGTGTCTGTGTCCAGGTATCAGATTATACTTCCTGAATTCATCTTGGTAGTGATCTTGTAATGCGGGTAGACGTGGTGGTGGCTGGCGGCAGTATCCGTCTGTCCATATGTAAATGAAAACTAAATATAATATCTGTGTGTGTGTGTGTGTGTGTGTGTGTGTGTGTGCATGTGTGTGTGTGGCATGTGTGGAGCGGCCCTGTATGGAGCGTTACGATAGGTTCTCCCTGGTGAAGGTAAGGGGCCCTGAACGTGGGACGCTCGCTCGGTGGCCCGGTAATTGGCCTGGTCCATGATGGTGATGATGATGATGATGCCAAATAGTGAGCTTTGTTTTGGTTCCAGGCGGCCATGTTGGGGTGAGGAGGAGGTTGTTGTTTGGTGGGGAGGAACTCTGTTGTTTTGTTTAATGTGTTTATTGTTTTGTTGGTTGTTTAGATGTATTAATTGAGGCATAAATGAGTGGATGGCGTGACAGATGCCGAGGCGCTGCTCCAGCAACCTTAGCGGACTTTCTCAAGAGGCTGGCGAGGGTTACCTGTTAGTCCTGTAGTGTTTCTATTATTAATCACTTACCTGTATCGTTAATTAAGGTTTTGACTCGGTCTTGTGGTGGTGATGAAGTTAGGGATGGTGATGTGTGTGTGAATATTAGTTACAAAGTGAGAGATTATGAGTGAATGAGGTTTTTGTGGTTGAGAGCAGGTACCCGGCTGCCTGGAAGGGCGGCGTGGTGGTGGTGGTGCGTCGCGCGCGATATTCCGGCAGTAGTGATGAGTGTTCTGCCGTGGATAGGCTGGCAGGTGCTATAGCTGTGTGTGCAGGTGTGGGTCTACGTCTTTACCTGCTGTTACTTGGGCTTAAAGCTCCTCCACCAGGATCTATTATATACTAGTGAATGTTACAGAACAACAGTGTCTTTAGTGAAGTGATAATGGAAACGATAAGAAGAAAAATGTGCCTTGTGCCCGAGTGCGTACAATACCAGTACCTGGATTGTTGGGCCAAAGTTGTTTGTTTTCATCGCTGCTTCTGTTGAGTTGTGGTCAAAACAGTGATCAGTGAAGTGAGTGTGGAAGGTCGGCAATAATAGTGACAGTTGTGGGCAGGGCAGGGAGCAGGGCTGGTGGGGGGGCTGAGGCAACTCGTGGAGGCGTAGTTGAAAGTTGACGGTTGTGGTGGAGGACGGAGGGGCGGGCGGGCGGGCGGCCTTACAGCGGTGCCCTTTGAACTAGCTAACGGACTTACACCAGGTCTGGCAAGTGTGGTGGCCACTACTGCTCCTTGGTGGGAACCCGAGGCGTGTAGACGGGGTGTGGTGGAGAGGGTGCGTGTTATGGAGGTTGAAAACGACACGTGGGGGAAGGGGTGTGCTGGTGGGTTAGGGGAATGTGTGAGAGGGGGGTGAGATGTGGTGTGGGACGGAGTGGATTGTGTATGGGAGGGTGAGAGGGCTATGTAGGAGGGTGTGGGGTCGTAGGAGGGTGTGTGGGAGGGTCAGAGGGGGACAGGGAAGGGTCTCAGCAGGTATTTCCGACGTGCTCCAGTCCACCCCAACAGCGGCTGGTGGTGGTGGTGGCTGGCCCTCACTTTGTCCTAATACAGACTAACTAACATGTATGCGTCCCCCTTCTCCTCTCCCCTCCTTGTTTATACACACGAGGTCACGTACATTCGACCATAACACATATCTCATTACATCATTAGGGTGTATTCTACTGTGTAAATATAATCACATAAAAACCTTCCAAATCGTCTTTATTTTTGTTTTAAGTGATATATTTAGGACGAAAACCTTCCAAATCGTCTTTATTTTTGTTTTAAGTGATATATTTAGGACGAAAACCTTCCAAATCGTCTTTATTTTTGTTTTAAGTGATATATTTAGGACGAAAACCTTCCAAATCGTCTTTATTTCTGTGTTAAGTGATAGAATTAATACGTGAATGCGAGGATATTATGTAAAGAAACACACTGGCCAGCGTCCACAAGATCACTACTTGTTTCTAAATGAATAATAAGGGAGCGGAGCGAGGGGTGGCTGCTGGTGTGTTGGGGAGAGTGACCACAGCTGAGAGGGGGGTGAGGGGGTGGTGGAGGTGGGGCAGATGGGGAGGTAGGGCAGAGTGTGGTGTATACAGTAGACCTTCTCCCCTTCCTTGTTATTATCGACACTAACGCCACGTGCTGGGTGTAATGTTTACCTTTAGTGATGGAGGGAGACCAGGTGTGGGGTGTGCTGCTGTCTCTGTTACACTCTCCAGGTGTGGGGTGTGCTGCTGTCTCTGTTACACTCTCCAGGTGTGGGGTGTGCTGCTGCCTGTCTGTCTCTCTGTCTCTCTGTCTGTCTGTCTGTTACACTCTCCAGGTGTGGGGTGTGCTGCTGTCTCTGTTACACTCTCCAGGTGTGGGGTGTGCTGCTGTCTCTGTTACACTCTCCAGGTGTGGGGTGTGCTGCTGCCTGTCTGTCTCTCTGTCTCTCTGTCTGTCTGTCTGTTACACTCTCCAGCCTAACCTAATCTAATCTATCCTATCTAACCTAACCTCACCTAATCTAACCTATCTAACCTAACCTAATCTATCCTATCTAACCTAACCTCACCTAATCTAACCTCACCCCCCAAAATAGGCTCGGGGTGGGTTAATCTTCAGGTGAACAAAAATAAGCTGGGGTGGTAATTCTTCAGGTGTTCCATTAGTGTTTAGCTCTCGGGAAGATTAACCACTCAAGGGGTTAAGATATCGGACTCAAGGGGTTAAGATATCGTACTCAAGGGGTTAAGATATCGTACTCAAGGGGTTAAGATATCGTACTCAAGGGGTTAAGATATCGTACTCAAGGGGTTAAGATATCGTACTCAAGGGGTTAAGATATCGTACTCAAGGGGTTAAGATATCGTACTCAAGGGGTTAAGATATCGTACTCAAGGGGTTAAGATATCGTACTCAAGGGGTTAAGATATCGTACAAATAGTTGGAACGTTTGTCTGAATGAATGTTATTGTTGTGAGGCCGACAGGTGTGAGCGGGTCTGCTCCACACACCTGCCTGGCTACTTCACTTAATTACCTCCATCTTACCTACCTCCTCCTCCTCCTCCTCCTCCTCCATTGCTAGGTTCCTTACTTCCTTGTCTCAGGCCTTAGGTATTACCGGTGTGTGTGTGTGTGTGTGTGTGTGTGTGTGTGTGTGTGTGAGGAATGTCGGTGAGTGAGGTTGCAGGGGCACGTAGTACAGTATATCCGCTCCCAGGTATGAACTACTGTACCCTCACCACCACTGCCACCACCACCACCACCACTACTAAAAAGCAAAAACAAACCCACCACTAACCCTGAAAAGCGAAAACAACATAAAACAACTAAATACGTGGATATATATTTTTTTATAGCGACAGTTCATTTTAAGTTGATTATTAGTGTTATTTTTTTTTATTTAGATGAATATTGAAGTTACTGGAGACTTGGTTTCTTTGTTTTGCTTCGTTTAGTTAGTTTTTCCATCTCTCTCTCCTTCTCTCTTGACCACATTGCGTATTCTGTAGGCGTCTCTCACACCCCCTTCCTCCCTCCCTACCTACCTACCTCCCTCCCCCGCCCCTCACTGAGTACCCTGAGGGACTAGAACACGAGAGAGAACTGTAGAAGGATGAGTCAGAGTAACTGTATGATGTGAAGAGGAAGAGGAAGAGGAAGAGGAAGAGTATTGGCGGAGGTGAGAGAGGAGAGAAAGTGGAGGATAGATGGTGGGGGAGAGGAGGAGGTGAGGGAGGAGTGTGGGGAGGAGGTGAGGGAGATGACCTGAGGAAGGGAGCGGGAGCAGTGACCGTCTGCACCAGCTGCTGCCACCTGCCCTCCCTCCCTCCCTCCCTCCATGTTCTTCCTTCCTTTTTTACCCTCCCTTCCTCCCTCCCCTCACCTCACCTCACCTCACCTCACCTCTTCTCACCTCCCTCCCTCCCTCCCTCCCTCACCTCCCTCCCTCACCTCACTTCCCTCCCCTCACCTCACCTCTCTCCTCCCTCCCCTCCCTCTCTCCCTCCTCCCCTCCCTCACCTCCCTCCCTCCCTCCCTCCCTCCCCTCCCCTCCCTCCCTCCCTCACCCCTCCCTCCCTCCCCTCTCCTCCCCTCTCTCCCTCCCTCCCTCCCCTCCCCACCTCCCCTCACCTCCCTCCCTCCCTCCCTCTGCCTCCCCACCCAACCCATCCCTTTCCTTCAAGAGGTGCCACCAGTAAGCCTTCACCACTTGAACCACCGTCATCAAGCCTCCAAAAGTGTCTTGAGTGATGAACGTGTCCCCGGGTGATGCGAGGGTGATGCAAGGGTGATGCAAGGGTCACATACGAGGTGGTTAAGAGACAGCTGGTTGGTAGTTGTGGTCGGGAGGGTAATTTCTGCAGCAATCTTCTCATCTGTAGCACAACTTATGGTCACCTCCTCTTGGCTAGTCCTCATGTGACTGTACCTAACTTAACGGACTGTACCTAACTTAACGGACTGTACGTAACTTGGGCTCATAAGAGGGTTGGGTGAAGACAATAGCGAGTGTATAATATATTGAGTGAATATATTGCGGTAGAAAAAGTTATTCATTGATAATATTGGTGTAAAATCTCTCTACTACTTCTTGTCGCTGTGGTAGAGAGAATGTCATGTGTGAAGGCCGGAGCAATGAATGCATAACGTTGTGTCGTGTCGTGCAGTGTAGTGATGATGGACACACACACACACACACACACACACACACACACACACACACACACACGTAGAAAAGATCACTTGCTTGCTCCAGTGACATTCAGGTGTTGATCGGTGTTGTAAATTACAGGTGTTTGCTAAATTGGAACGCCGCCATAACTTTTATTTTAACGTTAAATAAAGGAAGAGTTAACCCTCCACCCCCACTTCCTCATTAACCACCAGTTGAAATATTAAACTGAAAAAAAAATATATATATAAACTGGTGGATGTAGTGAAGCAAGTGGAAGTGTTTAAAAGAAGTAGTGATGCAGAGTGGAGGACTGTAGGTGTGGAGAGGTAGATATCTCCCCACCCCTGGAACACCTTACCTGTTCACCTATACCTTACCTTGGTGGTGATTAGCGTCTACCTGAGCCGTGTTTACTCGCCAGCAAATATGGTTTACAGGTGCGAGGAAGTCCTGCTCTCCCACAACAAGTTCAGCGAGACTAAGGTTAGTATGTCTCTCTCACACTTATCCTCATACTAATACCCTCATACTTAGCTCTCACACTTATCCTCATATATCCTCACACTTATACCCTCATACTTAGCTCTAACACTTATCCTCACACTTATACCCTCATACTTAGCTCTAACACTTATCCTCATATATCCTCACACTTATACCCTCATACTTAGCTCTAACACTTATCCTCATATATCCTCACACTTATACCCTCATACTAAGCCCTTATAATTAACCTTGACATTTAACCCCCAAGCCTCCCCCACACTTATCGCCACACTTATATCCTCACACTTAACCCTTATACTTACCCTCACACTTAACCCTTATACTTACCCTCACACTTAACCCTTATACTTACCCTCACACTTAACCCTTATACTTACCCTCACACTTAACCCTTATACTTACCCTCACACTTAACCCTTATACTTACCCTCACACTAATCCTCACAATTATCCTCTGTTTAACGGATTATATATAGAGAGGAGTCCGTTATAGGGAGGTTTTAATTTATAACTGGATCCCTTAATAAGAACTTAAGAAAATAAGGGGTCTGCAATAGGCCGGTTGGCCTGTGCATAGCAGCTCCTGTCGAGAGTTACTACCACTCTCTATCATCCATGAATCTATCTAGCCTCCTTTTGAAACTTTCCAGCGTTCCAGCACTTACTACAAAGTTGCTAAGCTTGTTCCACTCGTCCACCACCCTATTTGTGAACCAGTTTCTTCCTAACTCCCTCCTAAACCTAAACTTATCCAACTTGAATCCGTTGCTCCGAGTTCTATCCAGCTCGGATATTATAAGAACTTTATCTATATCCCCTTTATTGATTCCTTTCACCCACTTAAATACTTCTATCATATCTCCCCGCACTCTTCGTCTTTCTAGGGAATGCAAGTTAAGTTTCTTTAACCTATCCTGATATGGAAGGTTCTAAGTCCGGAATCATTTTTTGTCATTCTTCGCTGCACCGACTCTAGTGAATTTATATCCATTCTATAATAAGGGCACCAAATTTGAACCGCATAATCGAGGTGCGGCCTGACTAGCCCCGCAAGATATAGTTTATAATAAGACCTCTGCACTCTTGTTTCTTTTTCTTCTGAATATATAAAAACCCAATGTCTGTTTTGCCTTATTTCAACATTAACTAACTAGATGACCTTGTATAACTAACTAGATGACCCGGTATAACTAACTAGATGACCTGGTATAACTAACTGGATGACCTGGTATAACTAACTAGATGACCTGGTATAACTAACGCAGGAGAGACAGTGTGGCCTGACACTAATGACGCTAAATTGTTGTTTTTCTCGTTGTTCACTTGTAGTAAACGAGGAGGCCACAGTCACGCACCCACACAAGGTCACTACTGTACTACACACACACACACACACACTCACACACACACACACACTGTACACACACACACACTGTACACACACACACACACACTGTACACACACACACACACACTGTACACACACACACACTGTACACACACACACACACACACACACTGGCACACACACACACACACACACTGTACACACACACACACACACACACACACACACACACACACACACACACACACTGTACACACACACACACTGTACACACACACACACACACACTGTACACACACACACAATACCCCCTGAATAACATGACTCCCAACTGAAATAATAAATAATTAAATAAATAGTGTGGAAGTTCGTGTTTGCGGTCAATAAAATTCCATTTACCGGACATGTTAATGGGTAGAGTCCGTTATATGGAGGGTTTATATATAATGGCTCTCGATATAATGGACGGTATTCTCCTATATAGTTCATTATATGGAGGTTTCTTATGTAAAAAGCCCTCGATATAAAGGACTATTCTTCCACATACGTTATATGGAATGTTCACAAAAAGCCCTCGATATAACGGACTATACTTCACATAATCCGTTAAATAGAGGTAATGTGACGCTTCACCTCTGGTCTACACCCAAGCATGATGCACCAATGCCCCGGAAAATGCCAGTCGCATTCTCCTGAACTTTTAAGAGAGAGAGAGAGAGATGACGTAGTTCCTGCTTGTAATTTTTGTTATACCTATGACAAGAAACCTGTCTGTGTCTGTCTGTCTGTGTCTGTCTGTCTGTGTCTGTGTCTGTCTTTTGTCTTAACGAGTTTTTTTATTTACAATGTAATTTTCTTCCGAGATGGAAGTTAGTGACGTCAGAGCTCGAGTGATCAATGGGTATTGACGTCAGAGATTGAGTGACCAATAGGTGATGACTTCTAATCTCAAGTGACCAATGGGTGATGACTTCTAATCTCAAGTGACCAATAGGTGATGACTTCTAATCTCAAGTGACCAATGGGTGATGACTTCTAATCTCAAGTGACCAATAGGTGATGACTTCTAATCTCAAGTGACCAATGGGTGATGACTTCTAATCTCAAGTGTCCAATGGGTGAATTTATTTATTTCTCTGGAGATTATTAGTTATTATTATTATAAGTGTCTCAGCTTTCACAGATTGGTAAAAACGTGAGAAAAAAAATACTGTTTAATTTTTGTGTTACAGGAGAGTCAGTCTGTAATATTTGGAACCCGAGTGATTTAATTAACATATTTCCATACTTATGTCCTTGTAAAACTTGTTATTTATTCCTTGTAGTTTACTTACACTCGTACACAAGGGCTAGTTTACCTCGCGCACCTCTCTGTCATGTTAGTAGGTTACACAACACACGGCCAGCGGAGGAGTACATGGACCATATGGTAGGTTATGAGGTAACGAGGGAGTAGTGTGTGTAGGGCAGACTCCAGCACCTGTACCCCACACACACACACACACTACAACAGTATGAGGCCCTGGGGAGGATTTAACACTGTAGTAAAGATAAAGGTGACCTAACCTTACAAGGGATAGTAACGTGTGTGTGGGGGGGCATGTGTAGGTGAGGTGGATGTAGTTAGGTTAGGATCCCAGTATCACTCATATGTGGCGGACAAAGTATTAATGCTCCACACTTTTTCCTCTTGAGCTCGTTACGGTGTACACAGAGAGCGTGCATCTGATTTCCTGGATTATATGTTTTATTCTGGCTGGTTATCCGTGAGGGAGGTAGGAGAGGGAGGGAGGTAATAGAGGGAGAGAGGTAAGAGAGGGAGGGAGGTAGGTAGGGAGAGAGGTAGGTAGGTAGAGGGAGTTAGTTTTTATCAACATTGGGCGTTGCGAGAGAAGTGATCCAACACCAAGGAGATCTACTGACTAAATGGTATAGTTCTTAACACCTGTCCAGTATATAGTTCTTAACACCTGTCCAGTATACAGTTCTTAACACCTGTCCAGTATATAGTTCTTAACACCTGTCCAGTATATAGTTCTTAACACCTGTCCAGTATATAGTTCTTAACACCTGTCCAGTATATAGTTCTTAACACCTGTCCAGTATATAGTTCTTAACACCTGTCGTAACTTTTCTACTAATTGATTCTCTATGGACAAACAGGTGTCCAGTATATTGGTGGTTGGTTTAACTAACACTGTGTTGTGAGGTGATGTACAGTCACCCAAAAAACTATCTCTACTTAGGGTGATCGATGAGTGAGGGGGTGTGTGAGGCAAGAGTGTGTGAGACAAGAGTGAGGGGGTAGTGTGTGAGGCAAGAGTAGGGAGGTAGTGTGTGAGGCAAGAGTGTGTGAGGCAAGAGTGAAGTGGTGAGGGAGAGTGTGGAGGTAGTGTGTGAAGCAAGAGTGTGGAGGTAGTGTGTGAGGTGAGAGTGAGGCGATAGTGTGTGAGGCAAGAGTGGGGAGGTAGTGTGTGAAGCAAGAGTGTGGAGGTAGTGTGTGAGGCAAGAGTGAGGCGATAGTGTGTGAGGCAAGAGTGTGTCAGGCAAGAGTGGGGAGGTAGTGTGTGAAGCAAGAGTGTGGAGGTAGTGTGTGAGGCAAGAGTGAGGCGATAGTGTGTGAGGTGAGAGTGAGGCCAGAACTACACAGTGTAGAGGTTAAGTGAGGGCGGCTTGATAACTAAAGCCCTCCTGCTGGGTCAAGTGTATCAGGTGCCTCTGTCTGTATACTGTTAAAGCACCTGAGTGGCAACACCTGAGTGGCAGCACCTGAGTGGCAGCACCTGAGTGGCAGCATCTGAGTGGCAACATCTGAGTGGCAACATGAATGGATTGTGGGTCGAGGTGTGTGTGTGTGTAGTATGGAGGTAATATTTGAATAGGTGGGAGGGAGGGTGGTGGTGATGGTAGTGGTGATGGTGAGGGTGGTGGTGATAGTAGTGGTGATGGTGAGGGTGGTGATGAGGATGATGGTGGTGATGATGGTGCAGTAGGCGTGCGTGGGGCAAAGTGGTGGTGGTAATGGTGTTGTTTGTGGTAGTGGTGATTGTGGTAGTGTTGGTTAGTGTGGTGTTGGTGAGTGTGGTGGGCGTGCGTGGGGCCGTTACTTGAGGGTCACTACTGGTCCTGGTGGTTGTCCTGTCCGGGAGGAGGACCAGCACCTCCTCCATACTCCCTCCACTCACTCACCTCCTCCATACTCCCTTCTGATGGGTGAGGTGGTGGAACCCTGGGAGGTGTGGTGGGTGAGGTGGTGGAACTCTGGGAGGTGTGGTGGGTGAGGTGGTGGAACCCTGGGAGGTGAGGTGGGTGAGATGGTGGAACTCTGGGAGGTGTGGTGGGTGAGGTGGAGGAACCCTGGGAGGTGAGGTGGTGTAACCCTTGGGAGATGAGACGTTGGAACTCCTGAAAGGTAAGGTGGGGAGATGAGGTGAGGTGGTGGAGCCCCTGGGAGGTGAGGTGGTCGTGGTGGGGAGGAACACTGATCAACGGGAGGTGTTCCCCGGGGGTATCGACCAGGCCCAGGGTCGATTACCGGCAGGAGGGGGACGGACGCCCTCTGCTCTCTCATAATTGGGTTTTGTCTGTCTTCAATTCCTTGTGAGGAGAGTCATGGTGAGAGGGTGTG